TCCGCTGGCTCCGCTGGCAGCGGCGGCGCGCGCGGCGACCGCGCCAACGCCCCGAGCTTTTCCTGGCCTCCTGCGCCAAGGGGCGGAGCGACACGCCATCCGCTCTCCGGGCAGCCCGCGTCGCCGGGGCCTCCGCCATCCGACGCGGCGGGCGACTTCGGCCCCAGCGCGCCGGCGCCCAGCAACGCCGGGGAGAAGCAGAAGAAGTCGGCGACCGAGAGTGCCGACAATCGCGTGGCCACGACGGCGGACGTCGGCATGCCCCTGCAGGACGGCCCGGCTGTCTCCGCGCGGGGCGACAGGGCCCCCACCGCGGATTGGGCGAAGATCGCGGCGCACCTCGCACTCGGCGCGCCGCCCCAAGACCAGCCCGCGGGCCACGTCGCCATGACGGGCGACTTCGGCTTCCAGGAGATAACGCCCAGCAGCGCTGCTGAGAAGCAGGGGGGTCGGCGGCCATGATCCCGCCGTTCGCCGGACCACGATTGCGATCATCGGCACGTTCAGCTATGACAATTTGACCCTCTCCACGCGCGGCGCCCGCGCCAACGCCCCGAGCTCCCCCTGGAATCTTGCGCCGCAAGGCGGAGAGACACTACCCGCTCGCCGGGCACGGCGCGTCGCCATGGCCGCCGGGACCTGGCTGGCTCAGCACTGACCTCCCGCATCATGAGACGGCCAGTCGCCTACCTGGAAAAGACTCACAGATAACATTTGCGGCAATCAGTCGCCCACCCGGAGTAAGCTCGCGACGATCAGTCGCCCACCTAGAGACGACGCCCCCCCCTTCCACCCCTCCCGCACCCCAGAGTAAATTCGCGACGGTCGGTCGCTTACTTGGGGAAGACTCGCACAGGACACTCGCGACGATCAGTCGCCCACCTGGAGACGTTGCCTCCCCCCCTCCGCCCCCCCCGTCTCTCGGGGGGTTCTCGCGACGATCGGTCGCTCACCTGGAGACGATGGCCCCCCCCTTCCGCCCCTCCCGTTCCACGGAGAATTATCGCGACGATCAGTTGCCAATCTGGAGATGACGGCCCCCCCGCGGAGGAGGCGGGGGGGGGGCGGCGCCGCGCAGCCGCCGTTGTGCAGCGTGCACGGCCCCTCTGCGCCGTCAGCCGTCACCGGTCGTCCCGGCACGGGCACGGCCCTCCCTTCCGCCAGCGACGCCGCCGACGACGCCGACGACGACGCCGACGCTGACGCCGATGCCGACGCCGACGCCGACACCGACGCCGACGTCGACGCCGACGCCGACCACGACGACGACGCCGACGAGCGGGGGTCAGCACAGGCGTTGGAGCAGTAGCCAGGGGCGCCAGACGAGCAGGAGCAGGCGACCACCCACCCACGCACTTCCTCCACTGACCCTCCACCCCCGCGCGACTGGTGCCTCGGCAGAGACCTGGAGGACGCGCCGGGCCCCTGCGGCAGAGCCCCGCCGCCCGCGCTGACCGACTCCGACTCCGACGCCGACGCCGACGCCGACACCGCCGCCGCCGCCGCCGCCGCCGCCGACGACGACGCCGACGACGCCGACGCCGACGCCGACGACGCCGACGACACTGGCGCCGACGCTGACGCCGACGCCGACGACGACGACGACGCCGACGACGACGACGACGACGTCGACGACGACGCGGACAGCCGACGCCGGCGCCGACGACCTGGGGACAGCGCAGGCGTTGGAACGGAAGCCGGGGGCGCCAGACGAGCAGGAGCAGGCGACCACGCACCCGCGCACTTCCACTGACCCTTCAGCTCGTGGCAGCGACGCGCGGACGGATACGCCCCATCCTGACACCGCCCCCCCTTGCAACAGTGCGAGCCCCAGCGCCGCGGAGCGACGGCGCTGCGGCCAGCGCGCGACGCTGGTGCGTCTGCCTGGATGCGGCTGGACACTGAGCCTGGCCCCGAGAACTGGCGATCCCCCAGCCCCTTCGCCGCCCGCGGGGCGGAACCCGGCGCCGGGCAACGTCGACGGCCTGGCGGAATGGAGTCTGACAGGCATCAGACGACCGACGACGCCGACGCCGACGCTGACGACGACGCCGACGCCGTCGCCGACGACGACGACGCCGACGACATGGGGACAGCAGGCGCTGGAACAGAAGCGGGGGGCGCCAGACGACCAGGAGCAGGCGACCACGCACCCGCGCACTTCCTCGACTGACCCCCCAGCCCGCGGCAGCGACGCGCCGACGGACACGCGCCATCCTGACACCGCCCTCCCCCGCGACAGCGCGAGTCCCAGCGACGAGGAGCGACGGCATTGCAGCCAGCGCGCGCCGACGACGCGCCTGCCTGGAAGCGGCTGGACGCCAGGCCCGGCCCCGAGAACCGGCGATCCCCCAGCCCCCCCGCCGCCCGCGGGGCGGAACCTGGTGCCCGGCAACGTCGACAGCCTGGCGGGGCCCGACAAACGACAGACGGCGAGCACGGCGGCAGCAGCAGCAGCAGCAGCAACGCCTGGAGCCAGCGAGCCGCCACGCCCGACGGGGACGGGCGGCGCGCCTTCCGCCAGCGGCCTGAACCCCTGAATCCCGACACGGGAAAGCAGCTTTACAAAGTCAAGCTCGAAGGCGCGCAGTGGGGCGTTTACGGGGAGCCCCCGGGCAGAAAGACCGAGCGACTCCAAGTCACCCTGGGGGCGGTGTTCACAGGCGCCTGGCACGCGTTCGTCCAAAAGCACGCCGCACCTGGCTCCAGAGCAGCACTCGACCCGCTCCGGAACGACCAGCAAACGCGCGTCAGCTTCTTGGACTCCTTCCGCCACCACAAACGGGACGCGCGGCCCATGGACGACGCGCTGCACCTCGGGGCTGACTGGAAACAGCTGCGCGAGCGGTACCTGCGGCGCGGCGATGGCACGGGCAAGGCCACGAAACTTGGGGGAGTGGCGTTCCTGGGCCTAGCATCACTTCCTGCCTCGCTTCCTGGGGTGATTCTGTCCTCGGTTCCACCGTCCATGCTTTTGCAGCGATCAGCTGTTCCTGGGATTCGCCATCGCCTTCCATCCTGTCCTCCGTGCATTTGCAGCGACCAGCTGCCGCTCCTCATCACCCCCTGCGCCGTCACTCCTGGCCCCGGTCCACAGGTTGCAGCCGCCCCGCGGGCAGCCCAACACGTGCTGCCCCTGGTCGCGCTGCAGCTCCTTGCCGGCGAGAGGTGGCCCCTCCGTCAGTCTGCCCGTGCTCGCCCTCGCCTCGGGGCCTCTGACCTGCCCGCTGGAGGGCGCGGAGCGGCCGCAGCCTGGCCGAGGTCCTGGAGCGGCCGCAGCCCGACCGTCCTCCATTCTTTCTTCGTGGCGCTTGTCTCTTACGCGCTGAAGTTCATTTGCGCGTTCTACACGGTACCTGGAGGCCGGTTTCTTTCATGACTGCCAATCACCCGCCGTTCCTATTCGTCTCGTTGGCGTGTACGCTAGTCCTGTTGGTCCGTTCGTTGTGCTACGTCGTGGAGACCTGGGTCCTGCGCTACGTGTTCGGCATGGCGCATTGGGAAATGATGGCCCGCATGGCCCTTTTCCTTCCTGGTCACCGCCGTCCTGGGTAAGTGCGGCACTCGCTTCCACTCGCCACGGCCATGCGGGTGGTCGTTCGCCCATCTACATGGGCGTCTTCTTCGGCATCTTCGCGGACGTGCTCTCTGTGCCTGCGCGATGCTTCCCGCGCAATTTTGGGCTCCGCTCCGCGGTGGTCGCTGTTCTCTTCGCTGTGCTTGTTCCTTCGCCACGGCGCGGCCTGCCCCAGCTTGCTCGGCGTTCGACTTGCTTCGCGCGCCCGCGTGCCAAGGGTATCCCACCAGCCCATCCAGAAACGATGCCCATGAGAGTTGACGGGGGGGGAAGGAAGAGACACGTACAGACAAACAGCGAGGGGGGGGTGGGAGGCTCCGTGGCCATCTCGAGCCGAATTGGAGCGGTTTGGGGGCCGCTTGGAGCATTTTGGGAGACATCTTGAGCCAGTTTGGGTTATCGGAGGCCTCTTGGAGGTCTTCTTGGCCTCTCTGAGGCTGTTCGGGGGCCTGTTGGGTGCCTTTTCGGGTGCCCCTTTGGAGCCCTCTTGGGGCCTCTTCGGAGCCCTGGAAGGCCTCATGGGGCCATCTTGGAGGCGGTCGGTCAAAGGAAGGGGGGCACTCGATTTCCCTTCCCCCCCGGGGACCCCGGAGGCCACGATCCTCGTGAGTGGTGTCAAAGATGGGCCCTCCCAGGGGCCGAATAGGGAGTTGGCGACTCCTCGCGACCCCCCAAAAAAAAGCCTCAGGGATGGGAGGGGGAGGGCTCCCCTCCCCGAAGGGAAGAGGGATTGTGGAAGAGGACAGAAACCCTCGTTAGACCACCTGTGGCCCAGAGGGCTGGCGGGAACTTCCAGGGCAGCCCAGAGCCCCCAAAACCTTGAAGACGGCCCAAGCAGGACCTCCGGACGGCCCAAAACGCCCCGAATACAGCCCAAGAGTGTTCCAAGAGAGCCCCACGAGGACCACACAAGAGGCGGAACCCGAACTCACAGAGCCACCCCGCCCCCCCCGAAGGCGGCCCCCGAGACCGCTAACAGAGCCCCAGCAGGCTTCCAAGAGGCTCCAGGAGCGCCCGAAGGGCCTCACAATGTCCCTTATGTTCATGCCACTTGTTGGGATACTGTTGCAGGGGTCCTCAAATCATTGGTGTTGCTGGTGTTGCGACTGTTGCTGCTGATGTTTTTGTTGTTGGTGGTGGCGGTGAAGGTAAAGGTGAAGGTGAAGGTGAAGGTGAAGGTGAAAGCGAAGGTGAAGGTGAAGGTGAAGGTGAAGGTGAAGGTGAAGGTGAAGGTGAAGGTGATGGTGGTTGTGAACTCATGCCACTTGTGGTAACTATGTCCGAGGGTCTGTGAGCTTGTCACGGCCTGGGGCTTGCTAGAACCTAAGTGCGCGAAGCGCGCGCGTGGTTCTAGCAAGCGGGTGGTATGATATTTGTAGTCTCCTCATCCTCCTCCTCCTCCTCTTCCTTCGCTCTCCTCGTCCCCCATTCCTCCCCTTCCCCCTCCTCCCTTTCGTCCGACTGCTCTCCCTAGTCGTTCCCGTCTGCACGCGCAGGCATCGCAAGAGACCCTTGCGCCCACGTGTAGCAGTTATGAGGCGCGGCAGTTTCTGTTCACGCAAGAGGCCCGTGCGTTCATCGCGGTTCGCGGCAGGACCAGATGCAATGTACATGTTAGGTTTGGTTGTCTTGCGCTGTAGGAAAAAAGCATCATCACGTCTGGCTCGTTGCAGTTGCGCTTGCGACCCGTGGCCCTAGTCCCCGATTGCCCAGCCGCGTCCGCGGTGCTCTCGGATCATCATCACCAATATCATCGTCATCATCAGCAGCATCATCATCATCATTATCATCATCATCATCATCATCATCATCATCATCATCATCATCATCATCATCATCATCATCGTTGTCATCATCGTCGTCATCGTCATCGGCGTCACCACGATGGGCATCACAGTTGCCTGCGAGAGCGCCATCAGCATCACCATCATGTGCATCGTCGCTTTTCTGGTCAGCGAAGGCCCTTCTTCCCCGACGGGAGGTGCCGAGAGGCAGGGGCAGACGCCTCTCGCGCGGGTGCCCCAGGGGTCGGCGAGTCAACATTGCTCGCGATCACATGTCCGTCACGTTCGCCTTCATTCTCGCACCTTACATCGAGGACGCCTCTGCGAGTTACCGCCGCCCCCCTGCCCTCTTGGAAGCGCCCGTGTGGCCAAGTGCGGAGGCAGAGCTTTGCCAGGGTGTTGGACTATGGGTTCCTCCAGGCGTTGTGGAAACCCTCGGGAGAACACGGGGGGGGGGGAAGAGGGAGAGGAGCAGGAGATGGGAGGAGGAGGAAAAGGAGGAGGAGGAGGAGAAGGAGGAGAAGGAGGAGGAGGAGGAGGAGGAAGAGGCGGCGACGGCGGCAGCATCTTGGGAGCCTCCTAAAGGCCTCTTGAGCACCTTTTGAGGGACTTTCGGCTCGGGGGCCACTTGGGAGCCTCTTGGGGCCTCTAGAGCCGTCTTCTGGCTTTCTTGGCCCGTCTGACCCTTCGGGAGGCTGTCTTTGAGGCTTTCCTAGGCAGTCTTGGGGCCTTCTTGGGGCGGTCTAGGGCATACTGGAGGCCTATTGGAATTTCTCGGGCCGTCGAACGCCAAACAAGGCGAGTATGCCAGCCATCATGCAGCAGGTGGTATCCGATTTCTGGGCATGCCATCCCGAGAGCAGCCGCCGCCGTTCCTATCCATCCGGCTGGTGAGCTGAACAAGGTGCAGGCCAAGCTCTGTGGCACACCGTTGTGACGGTCGGTACAGGAATTACACATGCTGGTTGGAGCCGGCTGGGGGTCTGAAATAGCCCAGCACTTGTTCTGGCGAGCAGGAAGGGGGGCGAGGCTCGGCGTTTTTGGATTCGGGAAGGTTTTCGGTTTTTTTAGGCCTTCACGGGCCGTTTTCGGGACCCGGGACCGTCAAAAACGAATCTGGGGCGAAAAATTACACCAGATAGACCCCCAGAAAGGGTTTGGGGACCGGTTTTGAACGGGTTCGTCCTCATCCTTCCCTCTGGTACCGGGAAGCGATTACTGAACACTCCCCCTCCCCCCAACTGTCGATTCCCTTGCCAATTATCTAACCCATGTGAGCTTTAAGACAGTGGGCAGGCCCAGAGAGTTGTATAGCAGGTTTGCAGTCATGTTGTCCTTGCTTTCTGTTCCGCAGCCTTTGGCACGAGGCACCTCTGTGTTGTCAGGTTTTCAGGAAAACCTCGCCCCATCGTCGCGTAGCGTCAACATCGGAAAGGGTTCTGAGAGCAGTTGGATTCATAGTGGTAGCGGAGCCGGGGTACGTCCTCGGCTCCAATACGCTTTGCGCACTCTAGCTCTCAGGGCACCTCCGGTGTCCAAGACATGTCGGCGGCTGCTGGCGAGACCCAGGACCCAGCACAGGCGGCCGGAGGCCAGGGGGCGGCCCCCGAGGCGCAGCAGGAAGTTTCGACCATGAGCGTGGCCGACCTCGGCCGCATGATCAGGGAGCTGGTCCGCGAGGAGCTGAGTGCGTTCGACAGAGGTGCCGACCGATCAGCAGCTCCCGCGGGTGAAGGTGATCGGTCAGTGCGTGTGCTACCTGCAGGGGAAGACCACGGCCAGTGGCGAGACCCAGCCTCAGAGTGGGGAGGTTGGAGTGCGGCCAACTGGTATGGCATAGCAGGTGGTGCTCAAGAAGGCGATAGGTGGAAGGAGCAGCCCAGTGGAGATGAACGGCAAGGCTGGAGACGAGATCCCTGGCAAGACGAGAAGCCCACGTCGAGCCACTGGGAAGAAGACCCGTGGGGTGCGCACGGCTCCAGCTGGTCCGCCTGGTGGCAACAAGACAGCGGCAGGCGGGGCGACTTCAGCGACCCAGAGCCCTGGATGGGCTGGCCGGATTACCGACTGTGGAAGCGGAAGATACTCAGGTGGGAGAATGCCCCGGACGTAGTGCCCGCCAAGCGGGCGGACAGGGTGCTCAAGATGCTCGACGCAGAGCTGCAGCGGAAGCTGGAGTGCATCACCGACTCCAGCTCACCAGCCCGCTCGGTGTCCAGTGCGTCTTGAAGCAGCTGGACCTTCTCTCGGGCGAGCGTCATGACGATGAGCGCAGACGCACCGCTAGGGAGTGCCTGTTCCAGTACCAGCGGAGGAACGCGGAGACGCTGACCTCCTTCGCGTCCAGGCTGGACCAGCAGTTCGACAGGATCGCCACTCAGGGGCTCGAGATGCCTGACGAGTGGAAGGCGCTCTTCCTCGAGGAGGGCGCGGGGCTGGACGACGCCAGCTCGCGACTCATCAGAGTTCTGACCAAGGGCGACACGTCCTACACGCCGATGCTGGCGGCCATCAGGGAGTTAGACATCAGCAAAAACGAGACGATGACCGGCACTCGTCGCAGCCTGGTCGCTCACGTCGAGGGACACGGCGCTCCGACGCCACCGGCGTCATTTCCAGTGGATGTTCAGGAGGATCTGCTTAGTGTGGAAGATGTCTCGTCGCTCGACACAGACACGGAGCACGCGCTCCTGGACGTCACCGAGCAGAAGGATCTGGACGAGGCGGACGCACCAATCGTTCTGGCAACGATGCAAGCTGATCGCAGGAAGACCTGGCGCCAGAACCGAGAGCTGAAGAGGAAGCTCAAGACCGACAGGAGGTACTTCCAGCGCAGCGCCCCAGGTCAGAGCTCTGGAGACAAGCCCCAGAGAGCGGACGGCCACTACAGCGCTCACGGTCATCAGCGAGACCGCAAGGCGAGGCTCCCTCTCTCCGAGATCATCAAGCGCTCGAAGTGCCAGATCTGTCAGCAGAAGGGGCACTGGGGCGATGAGTGCCCGAACAAGAGCGGCACGGCCACCAGTCAGAGGCAGGCGGGAGCTCAGCGACAGCAGGCGAGCTCGCCAGTCACGGGCTTCTGCTACCCCAACGCTCAGGAGGAGGCCTTCCTCATGGACGTGCCGATGCCGCTGAGCACGAAGGAGACAGCGATCGCGGCCGGTCGCAGCATCGACGCCTGCCTACAGCGAGACGTGGTTCTACAGGCGACAAAGGGCGGCAGTCCGGGCGGGCCGCGCGCCCCGCCGGGCGCCGCGGTTCTCGACACGGCAGCTGGGCAGGGCCTGGTCGGCAAGAGGAACCTCGCGGAGCTCGACGGCCACCATCGGCAGATGGGCTACGCGGTGGTGCATGTCGCGGCTCGCCACGCTTCGGCAGGTGGCGTCGGTGGCAAAACGGATGCGTTGTCGACAGCATTGATTCCGAGGGGCATCGAGGAGGCCCACGGAGTGCTCGAGGTTGATGTGATTGAGAAGGATATCCCTTTGCTGTTTCCAGTCTTTCTGCTCACGGCCTTGGGCGCAGTCGTAGATTTACCCAGGAAAGAGGTTCTCTTCTCGAAGCTGGGTCGGACCACGAAACTGTTTTTTCTCTCCTCGGGTCACCCATGTTTCTGGATCGACCGTTTGAGGAAACCTCAGGAGCTTCAATGTCCAGAGCGGCTGGCTCGGGACTTCCCCGAGGTGTGTGCTGACAGCTTCAGGCAGCCTGTTTGCCCTGTCGCGGAGTATAAGGCCTCCTCAGCTCAGATCCCTCGCCTCATCCAATTCTCGATCTCGGGTTTCTCTGGGTCCCAGGTCGACGGCCCAGGTCCCAAGGGCGGAATCCCCGCCGGCCCCAACGATTCGACTCGACGAAACGACGGCGACCTCCAAGAGCAAGAGACGACGTGCACGACCGGACGAACACCGACAGCGCAAGGTCCTAGAGATCCTCAGAACACGGGAGCTCAAGAGGCCCCAGGGGCAGTGTCTTCGTTTGTTACCGAAACCAGTGGGGAACAAAATACTCGGATCGACGAGATGAGCGGCACCGAAACCAACGCCGACACTTTCGACGACCGGAACATCATCGAAGACAACGGCAAAGTGTTTTCCGGGGAGTTTCCGATATACGAGGTCTCGAAGTTTCCATGGGTCGGCAATTCAGATGTGTCCGGGCGCGTCCTTGGGGATCTGCGCTCGGCGGCATCATCACACCGGAGATCATCTTTGCTCGAGCAAAAGGACCAGTTGACATTCGACCAGTGGTTGGCCGCCCTGTCCGAGAGAGATGCCGGCGTCAGGGACTCCGGTTCATGCGTTCGCAGGGAAGTATGTTCTCACGGACAACGACGCTCCAGCAGATCTCAATCGGAGCTCGAGGCATTGGATCGTTCTAACGTCTCTGATCATGAGCATGGCGTGCATGATCAGTCGCGAGCTGCGCAGCATGCTTCATGCAGGACGTCTCTTCACCCTCAAGACCAGAAAGATGGATCGGCGCTTGACAGAGCACCAGATGAACTGCCGCCATCCCATGGTGGAGATCTCCTCAGGGTCCAATATGCACGGCAAGTGGTGGACATGCGAGAGGTGCGGACAGCGGATCGCATACAGGGACCAGAAGCAGCTGAAAGCCCTGGGTCGTCTACCAAAGCGGGTCAGCCTGATTCTCAACTTCACCATCACCGAGGTGATCCCCGATCCGAGGCCGCAGTCAAAGTGGGAGAACAGTCCCTCTACGAAGAATCGTCTGGTCAAGCCAAGCCCGGTGCACGGGGAGAGTCGGGTGGACTACAGCCGCGCGGTCGCCGACCCGTCCAAGGAGGTGAGCGAGGAGACGCCCATGGAGGAGGAGCGGCTTCCGCTGGCTCAGCCGCGCCTGGTGCGGCACGTGCAGGAGAGGTCGGCACGACGCGCGGTGGAGGGCCCGGCTCAGCA